TGATATTTCTGTGACCCGGGAACCTCTTTCCATATGCAAAGCAGAACCGCATTCATTCCTTCTATTTAAAAAAAAAAAAAAAAATCAGCGAGCGCCGGACTCAGACAAAGCCCTACCTGTCCTGGAATGAGCAAGCCGATCGCAAACAGGAAAACAAATCAGGTAATGCCAGAGAGAAGACACGCTTGTTTTCTCTTTTCTTCCTGGAGGCACTAAGTAAAGTAAGGCTGTGGTGCACAGCTGTAACCCCAGCACCCAGGGATGAAGCCGCAGGAGAATCAAAGACTAAAGCTACATCTTGAGACTGTGCCTTAAAAACTAAAGACAAACAAAACAAAATCCCAAACACTGACTTCAATAAATGTAAAACAAAAAGGGGTCTGGGATTGATGGCTCAGCAGGTAAGGGCATTTTGCTGCCAAGCCTGCCACTCTAAGTTTGATCCTTGAACCTAGCATGGAGAAGTAGAGTACCCGTGGTACTCGGGTGCCCGCACAGATATACATACGCACACTAAGTAACAAATGTCAGGAGAAAAGAGGAGGAAAAGGAGGAGGAAGAGGAAGAAAAGAAGGAGGAGGAGAAGGAGGAGGAGGAGGAGGAGGAGGAGGAGGAGGAGGAGGAGGAGGAGAAGGAGAAGCAACAAAGGGAAGAAAGAAGCCAAGCAGTGGTGGTGCACACCTTTAATCTCAGCACTTGGGAGGCAGAGGCAGGTGGATCTCTGAGTTTGAGGCCAGCCTGGTCTATAAAGATAGCCTCTGCTCCAAAAACAAAAAACAAAAACAAAAACAAAAAACAGAAAAACAAAAACAAGCAAACAAAAAAAAAGGAAGGAAAGAAAAGAATCTGGAAATAGAGCTCGGAATAGAGAGCATTACATCTATTTGTTCATCAGTTAAATCTCACACACAGGCACACACGCACACACGCATGCATGCACGCACACCCACATACACACGTGCTCGGGCACGCACGCACGTGCGCGCGCACACACACGCACCCTGATGATGGTAAGGACAAGATAAACGTCACAGATTAGAAGAAATCAGTGCTGTATGTGGTACTCAATGGTACAGCGCTTGCCTAGCATGCACAAGGGCGAATTCAAACCCCAGAAGAGAAAATTTAAAACTTAATAGAAGAAAAGAAAGAAATGTGTCTTCTAAGGGTTCTCTGCTTCAAGAAAAAAAAAGTCTGTTTTTTTAAAAAAAGCCAGGCAGTGAAAGTACAGGCCTTTTATTCCAGCACTGGAGAGACAAAAGTAGGTGGATCTTTGGGAGCTCAAGGCCAGCCTGGTCTTAGTGAGTTCCAGGACAGGCAAGGCTATGCAGAGAAACCCTGTCTCTGAGAGGGGAGGGGGAAGAAGAAAAACAAAACTGGTATAAACACGTATTCCCCTCCAAGACTTATTTTGACATTATAACATTAGTGCTTGGATGGTGATTCAGTGAGTGAGTACATGCTTCCGTGTGCAGGGCCACATATAAACAAGTAAATAAAAATATAATAGTAATCTTTTACATTTCATATTTTATGATTTAAAACTTTTTTTTTTTTTTTTGTTTTTCGAGACAGGGTTTCTCTGTGTATCTCTGGCTGTCCTGGAACTCACTCTGTAGACCAGGCTGGCCTCGAACTCAGAAATCTGCCTGCCTCTGCCTCCCAAGTTCTGGGATTAAAACATCTTCTATGAATGCTTTACTTCAGTTAAAATAATAGCCATAATAGGACCAGGGATATAACTTCATCGGGATAGTGCCTGCCCATACATTCCTAGGGCCCCATCAGGCCTGGGAGGCAGGAAGACAAGATGTTTGAAGTCGTTTTGGAGGCATAGGGAGTTCCAGCTCAGGCTGGAATACGTTGCAACCTTGTCTCAACAAACAAGTCAACCAAAACAATAGTAACACTTAAAGAGTGTTTGCACGTGAGGCCCTACTGAAAATGCTTGACATCAGGGGTTCTCAACCCTTCTGGACAGGGGTCAAGCCCTTTCACAAGGGTCGCATATCAGATATTAACATTGCTATTCATAACAGTATCAAAATTAGAGTTAGGAAATAGCAAGGAAATAATTTTATGTTTGGGGGTCACCACAGCTCGAGGGTCTGTCTTAAAGGGTCTCAGCATTGGTAGGATTGAAAACTTCTGTCTTACATAAACCGAGTTACATATAGAAACCCTGTTGGAAAAATGTTACCACAGGGGCTGGGGGTATGGCCCAATCCTTGAGAGCACTTGCTGCTCTAGCAGAGAACCCAGGTTCTGTTCCCAGTTGCACATAGCCCCTCCCCACCTGCCCATAAAATCCAAAGCAGGGAAATCCACAGAGAAGACAGATGAGGGAGTTCCCTAACTGGAAAGGGAGTGCCAGCAGAGTTTCTAAAGTGGATGTAAAATTTCCTTTTAGTTCATTGAAAATGCTCTTAAACCAGAAGTGCTGATGGCTGCGCAACATTGTAAGTGTATAAAATTCCTCTGAAATACACACTTGAAAATGATTTTTTAAAAATGAAATACAAAAAAAAAAAAAAAAGAAAGCTGGGCAGTGGTGGCCCACGCCTTTAATTCCAACACTTGGGAGGCAGAGCCAAGTGGATTTCTGAGTTTGAGGCCAGCCTGGTCTACAGAGTAAGTTCCAGGACAGCCAGGGCTACACAGAGAAACCCAATCTCGAAAAACCAAAAAAAAAAAAAAAAAAAAAAAAAAAAAAAAAAAAAAAAAAAAAAAAGAGCCAATACTTTTTAAAAAGACTTATTTACTTATTTTTTGAGTAAACACACCACAGAAGGGCATCAGATCTCGTCACAGATGGTTGTGCACTACCATGTGGTTGCTGGGAATTGAACTCAGGACCTCTGGAAGAGCAGTCAGTGCTCTTAACCACTGAGCCATCTCTCTAGCCCTAAAATGATTTTTTTTCTTTTCTTTCTTTTTTTTTTTTCGAGACAGGGTTTCTCTGTGTAGCCCTGGCTGTCCTGGAACTCACTCTGTAGACCAGGCTGGCCTTGAACTCAGAAATCTGCCTGCCTCTGCCTCCCAAGTGCTGGGATTAAAGGCGTGCACCACTACCGCCCAGCCCTAAAATGATTTTAAAGTGGTAGCCCATGCCTTGAATCCTAGCACTCAAGAGACAGAGGCAGGCTTTCTGAAGTTCTAGGCTAGCCTGGTCTACATAACTGAGTTCCAGTCTGGCGAACTAGTGAGACACACACACTCCCCTTCTCTCCCCTCAAAAAAAAAAAAAAAAAAAAAAGTTAAAGTGGACGTTGGAGATGGAGTTTGGTGATGAATGCTGGCTAGTACACACTGAGCCTTGAGTTCTATCCCCAGCACCGCAGAAAGAGAGATGAATAATACAATAAAATGGCTAAACCGGTGAGTTCCCTATCATGTGAATTTATGTTTGTTGGGGCTGCTATATCAAAATACCATAAATCAGGTATCTGGTAAACAATAAAAGTTCAGCTCAGGATACTGCAAGCTGAGCAGTCCTAGGTCAAGTTGTCCGGGGACACCTGTTTCCTCTCCCTATGAAGACTCTGCCCCAGATCACTGTAACCCTCCAGGAGGCTCCCAGCAAATCCATCTCCCACCTCAGGGTTAGGATTCTAGCGTAGGAACTAAGAGGGGTACAAACATCAGACCACAGCAGAATTGTGCCCAAATTTAGAAGGGGTTGTGGGGCTGGGGATAGAGCTCTGTGGTAGAACACTTGACCAGTATGCTCAGGAACTTTGGATTCAGTGTAGCCCTGGCTGTCCTGGAACTCACTCTGTAGACCAGGCTGGCCTCGAACTCAGAAATCCGCCTGCCTCTAAGAATTATTTGTTTATTTTTTATATATATTAATACACTGTCGCTGTCTTCAGACACACCAGAGGAGGGAATTGGATCCCATGACAGACAGTTGTGAGCCACCATGTGGTTACTGGGAATTGAACTCACGACTACTGGAAGAGCAGTCAGTGCTCTTAACCGCACAAAAATAAAATTCTTACAAGAGAAAAAAATAAGAGAAAAGTAAGTTAGGGGCATAGAACAGTGCCGTGGGTTTCCTCAACTGTGACAGAGTGACAATAAGCCCCATTCCCCCAGAGTAGGGCTGAGTAATATGTCGGTATCCCATAAAACACTCATCACATAGTGAGTACCCAAACTGAATGTCAATTAGTGTCCTTCACAAATGTCTAACCTGTTGGCCTTTTTTCCCTTTTTCTTTTCCTTCCTTCCTTCTTTTCTTTCTTCCTTCTTTCTTTCCTTCCTTCCTTCCTTCCTTTTAATGGCTCCACCCAGACAGCCTGTCTTCACATGGGGTTCTCCCGCTCTTCCTTGCTGCACCCGGCAGGCCATCCACCACTGGGAACATACTCCCTCCTGTGTACAGGCCAACATGGTCCTAGAACCACTGCCGCAGAGAGGCTGACTCTGTGAAACCCTCCCCTGAACCAGGGGCACCAGAGGATGTGGGGGAGAAGCAGTCTAGGAAGCGGGAGTTTTAGGAATAGCTCCTGAGTTGGAGATCACCACGGGGTTTGATTCTGTCTCTGCTGCTCTTCAGGAAACCTGTCCAGGGAAACACTGATACCCACAACATCCCTCTCCCCGTTGGTAGGGGCTCTGGGTGGTTATTAGTTTCACCTTGGGTTTTGCTGGGTTGCTGTCACCCATTGGACAGGAAGTGGAAGTGGAGGAACCCTCTAAGAATAGATATCTGGCCCTCTCTTTTTCCTTTGCCATCCAAAACATGGGTCAGGTGTTCTCCTGGGATGTTAAAATAAGAGTGTTCCTCCTGTCCACCCTCTGCAGGGCAGGGTTTCTCTGTGTAGCCCGACTGTCTAGAACTCGCTCTGTAGACCGGGCTGGCCTTCCTGTCCACCCTCTGCAGGGCAGGGTTTCTCTGTGTAGCCCGACTGTCTAGAACTCGCTCTGTAGACCGGGCTGGCCTTCCTGCCCACCCTCTGCAGGGCAGGGTTTCTCTGTGTAGCCCGACTGTCTAGAACTCGCTCTGTAGACCGGGCTGGCCTTGACTTTACAGAGATTCACCCTCCTCTGCCTCCTGAGACTAGGATTAAAGGTGTGCACCGCGTGGCTAGAGTGGGAGTCTTTAACATTCTTAGACTCCTGCTTTTCCCCTTCCCTGTGCTCTTGGGAGAGCCTGGCCTCTCTGCCCTCCTGACATTCTGTTTCTGACTTCTCTAGATAGTCTGAACATTGCACCCTGTCACATCAGCCCGTGCTTTTCTACTCCTACCCAGGATGCACTAGGTGAGGGCTGGCGCCCACCCCACCCTACTGTGACCATGGATCCTGGAGCCGGACCTGACTCGTCTCTGACTGTCAATGAGCAGGTATCTTCTGGGGTGAAAAGTGGGGCTGTCGAGGGTCCTGACTGAGGGGTGGTGTGGCCAAGAGAGACAGACATAATGGGCCTCATTTGTCCCTTATTAAAGTTTATGGTCGGGACTGGAGAGATGGCTCAGTGGTTAAGAGCCTTGAGTGCTCTTCCAGAGGTCCTGAGTTCAATTCCCAGCAACCACATGGTGGCTCACAACCATCTGTAATGGGATCTGATGCCCTCTTCTGGTGTGTCTGAAGAGCTACAGCGTACTCATATACATTAAATGAATGAATGAATGAATGAATGAATGAATGAAAGAATTTTTAAAAAAGTTTATGGTCACCGCAGTCCACTTGTCTAGAGCAAGCATGTTAGGGCCTCAGGGGTTGAGTTTGGTATTTTTATGTTGCAACAGGGTTGGGGTCTGATGTCTTCTTCTGGCCTCTGAGAGCACTACATGTATGTGGTGGTGTACATACATGGTGTACGGACATACATACATGCAGGCAAAACAACCGTACCCATAAAATAAAAAGTAAGATCTAAAAAAATATTTTAAAATACATGCCAGGTGGTGGTGGCACACGCCTTTAATCCCAGCACTTGGGAGGCAGAGGCAGGAGGATTTCTGAGTTCGAGGCCAGCCTGATCTACAGAGTGAATTCCAGGACAGCCAGGGCTACACAGAGAAAACCTGTCTCGAAAAAAAACAAAAAAATAAAAAATAAAATACACAAATACTGATAAGTGTTTGAACATGTGATTTAGATTTTTTTTAATGCTTCTGTATATTTCCTATGTTTTCTGAAATGGCATTTGTTTATTCCTTGAAAGAAAACAGGCCAGCATCTTTGAAATGTAAACAGAGTGAAGTGCCTCACAGGTCAAGGTCTGCCAAAGGAACATGCTTTGGTACACATTAATTCTTTTCGATGACTCTCCCTGATTCCTTCACTCGCACAGTCTCTGGCTGCAGCCAGTTCTCAGAGAGCACTGTGGGTGTAGTTCCAGGTACAGTTCACGGGAAAGGAAGGTTGACACGAGCCTTTTTCACCTGTGAAATTCACCTGGGAGGCTTCAGGGCCAGGATGGCACATTTAAGCAATGGTATAAAGATCTTAGTGCGGGATGTTTGGCAGGGCTGACTCATGGATGGCGCCCTGGGCTTTCGAGAATGCCTGTAATAGACAGCCCAAAGGGTCAGGAACAGGTCAGGGTGAGGCAGGAGAAACTGCATTTTGGTAATTGACTTCTTGACTCTTCTTTGGGGGAAATTAGCCTGCAGGGAAATTCTGGTATCCTGAGTTTAAAAGCTACTCAAGGGTTGCAGAGATGGCCCAGTGGGTAAAACCATTCTGGGGCATAAGACAACCAGAGCCTCAGAGCCCATATAAAACTCTGGGTGTGGTGATGAGTGTCTATAATTTCGGCCTTCCTGCTAGAAGCTGAGAGAACATCTGGAAGCTGAAGGGAGTACACAGCCTGGCAGGAGGGAGAGAGAGCCCGCCTCAGCAAGGCAGAAGAGAACAAGCTCCTGACAGTTGCCTTTGAACTCTACATAAGTGCATGTGCACGCACGTGCACACGCGCACGCACACACACACACACACACTAATAATGAACAGTATAACCTAAGGTGCTCAGTGCTACAGTGCATCCATCCACTTCCCACATCCCTTCTGGGGAGCCTCCAGGTGGTCTCTAGGGACGTTAGGACAGATTTCTGCTGCGTCCCCATCTTGTTATGAGTAGTACTAAAATCTCGGCTGCTGAGAGGATGCTCTCACAAGCTTGCCGAATGAACCCTTTTGCACTTCCGGAGCTAAGTACGAGACAGGGGACACACAGAAACACCTTCTGGTAGGTTGGCTCTGTGCAGCTTCTCTCTCTGCCTCTGGGCTACTTTCTTCTAACAGCTCCAGGCTGGAAATCAGGGACAGTAGTCTGGCCTCTGTGAGACTGGTTCTGGCAGTCTCACAGAGCATGCCATTCTCTGGATTGGAGCTTTACTCTCTGAGTCCTCCACCCTTCTAGTCATCCCCAGAGCTGTGGACCCTTTCCCCCTCACTGTCCCCATCCTCTGTTTGCAGGTCATTGTGATGTCAGGCCACGAGACCATCAGAGTATTGGAAGTCGGAGTGGATGCCCAGCTTCCAGCCGAGGAGGAGAGTAAAGGACTGGAGAACGTGGCAGCTGGTGGCTCCCAGAGTGGAGGCCCTGCTGAAGCCAGTGGACCTCCTGGTGAAGCTGGGTCATGTGACCCAGACCATTCTCCAGAGGCAACCGGTATGAGGCTACTCTTTTGATCTGGTACTGGGCACAGGTGGCATTAGGGTCTTGTCGTTCTGCCCACGTGGCCTCTGGCCACAGTCCGTAACTCTGGCCAGTTTCTAGGAATACCCTGCCCCCATTGTATCTGGGATTGTTTCCTTTCTGTCTCACCCAGGCCTGAGTAGAGATAGCTCAGGGAGAAGCCTGGTACAAGTTCAGCCTGGAGGGGATCTTAGTCCACAGCAGACCGAACCCCCCTTTTCAGCAAGCTTCTGGCCACGTTTAACTGTGGTTACTTGCATGAGCGTGAGTGAAGGATCAGTTTCTAGGATGCAGACAAGGTACCAGTGGCTATTCCACCGAAGGAAGCGACTGCCCAGTATTTACGGAGCCATAATTCCTTAGCGAGGAGCGAGGTGCCACGAACACCTTGCCCGTGCATGAGTTACTGGTGACAGGCCTCGCCTTGTGAAGATCTTGTGCAGGTAACAATAGCTTTCTTAGTCTCTACGTGCGACAGCTGTGTCATGACCAGAAAACACCATTTCACAGCCCTGCCCATCTCTGGCTTTTACATTCTTCCAGCTTCCTCTTTTGAGTCATTCCCTAAGCCTTCAAGAAGTGCTACAGATATGCCTCTTTTGAGAAATTCCCTAAGCCTCCCATCACTCACTCTCTACACTTTGACAGTTTTGAGTCTCTGAATTAGCTGTCACCCACTGTCAAAAGACAGCTCTCTGTTGGAGAATGAGGTCACTGATGTTGTGACTGACAGCTGGTCCTTCTGTCCCTTGTCCTTTTCTAGACATCACATGCTGGTTTTTGGGAGTCCAGTGACATCACTACTAGTCTGTCTTCTGGGGGCGGGGGTTGGGGGGGAAGCATTTCTAAGGGAAAGTGCCTCCAAGAGGGGACAGGACAGACAACGACTCTGCTCCTGCCACGCTGTGGACTCAGCAGGGCCATGTGGAATGAGCTCCTTTTCAGAAAAAAAATTCAGGGAGTTTCTTGGCTTAGTCCACAGTACCCCCTTTGCCCATTTGCCTGTCTTCTTGACCCCGTTTATTTCTGGTGTCAGAATTCTCTCGTTATCCAAACCTGCTCTCAGAAACTGACCTACATTAGCTGCTTCCACTTTAGTGTCTTCTCTCAGAAAGCCTTCCTCCAGGTCGGGGAGTTTGAGCCGTGGGCAGTCAGTGAGGGAGGTATTTGAGGTACTGTCTGAGCAACTGTACGTGGAGACTGTGCGGGACCTTTCTGTAGCTGCAATATTAAGAAAGGTCCGTGCTGATCAAAACAAGTCCAAACTGGAAACGCTCTCATGGTGAACAGAATGTAGTGGCTCACGCCATTCTAGTCCTTGTGACACGCTGTGTGTTCATTCTCGGGGCACTGGAGGGTAGGCTCTGGAGGATGAGACATACTCATGTTCTTTCATGTGCCTATTTTTTTTGTTTGTTTGTTTTTTTTGAGACAGGGTTTCTCTGTGTAGCCCTGGCTGTCCTGGAACTCACTCTGTAGACCAGGCTGGCCTCAAACTCAGAAATCCGCCTGCCTCTGTCTCCCAAGTGCTGGGATTAAAGGCGTGCACCACCACTGCCGGGCTGTGCCTATTATTTTTTTAATTAATTTTTCCTTAGCTTTATTTCTGTGTATGGGTGTTTTGCCTGCACGTATGCATGCGTGTCTTTTGTATGCCTGAAACCTTCAGAGATCAGAAGAGACTATCAGAGCTCTTGGAACGAGAGTTATAGATGCTGTGAGCATCATGTGGGTCCCTTCCAAGTGCAGCCAGTTCTCTTCACTACTCAGCCATCTCTCCATCCCTTGCTGTGCCTATATTCTGTACTGACGTAGTCTCACACATTTGCTTCTGATTTTGGCCACTCTCAAAAATTTTATTCTCATCAACAGTACTTATTTGAATATGTTTGTAGTGTTTTGTTTTGCTTGTAGTGTAGTCCACTAAAATTCTTTTGAAGAAAAGTTACTTGTTGAAGCTGAGTGCTGTGGCACATAACTAATGCCAGCACAGAGAAGGCTGAAGCAGAAGATTGCGCTGAGTCTGAGATCACCTTGGGCTAGATAGTGAGTTCCAGGATAGCAGGGGATAGAGTGACAGGGCCTGTCTCAGAAAAAAAAAATGTCAGGAATTATTACATGGAAATTAAAAAAAAAACTTTTTATCAATAAGAAGAGATAAGATGGGCTTGGTGGTGCATACCTTTAACCCTAGCACTCAGGAGGCAGAAGGAACTCTGGGTTCGAGGCCAGCCTGATTTACAGAGTGAGTTCCAGGACAGCCAGGACTATATAGAAGACCCTGTCTCAATAAAGGAAGGAGGGAAAGAAGGAAGGAAGGAAAAAGGGGGGAAGGAAGGAAGGAAGAAGGAGGGAAGGAAGAAGGGAAGGAGAGACAAATAGAGACAGAGGAGAAGAGAAGGAAGAAGAGGAAGGGGAGGAGGAAGAGGAAGAGGAGGAAGGGGGAGGAGGAAGAGGAAGAGGAAGAGGAGGAGAAAGAGGAGGAGAAGGAGAAACAATTGGCTTTAACAGGTTGCCCACCTGTTCAGAAGGACCTGAGGGTGTGCATAAAGTTCTGGGTTAGTCTCCCCCACCACATACAACTGGGTTCAAACACCACTGCCATCCCAGCCAGTGGGAGGTGGAGGCAACCAGGGGTTTGAGCAGATCAAAGGAACAGGACAGTGATAAAAAGTGGGGCCAGGGTGTGTGTCCCAGTCCTGTAATCCCTGCCCTTGGACAGGTGTGTGTCCCACACCTGGAATCCCTGCCCTTGGAGCACTAGGCAGGGCTGAGGTAAGAGGGCTGCTGAGGATTCAGTGTTGGTTTTAAACAAAATCTCAGTCCTTTGATTTTACCAATGTAAACTCAGGCACTAGATGCCGTGGTGAAAGCCTGCTAACTCAGAGAGGCAGAGAAAGCACCCAGCTGACCTTCCTCCACTGCTGACTTCCCAAAAGAAGGAAGTTCTCCCTCTCCTCATTAGCTCAAAAACTCTCAAACTGATTGTCTTTTCTGCTTCCTGTGTGTCTCTCTTTCCATCCTGAATTCCTCTCACTCTATGGTCTTTTTTCCTAAGTTTACTCCCTGTCAACTGGTTGCTTGCGCAGCCTCTTGACCTATGGTTGACTTAATCCTGTTTACAATGAACAGAAAACTAAGACTGAGCTATACTGTGGTATTTTCTAAATAACACAATCCCACAGTGTGATCAAATATCCTGCAACCATTCGAGGCTAGCCTAAATTCAAAACCAGCCTGGGCTACAGAGGGAGAACTGCCACACACACCCCAACCTCCAATCCTCATCACAACAGGACGAAACCAAAGCTAACTAATCTAACTCAGTAGAGAAACAAGTGTGACAGGCGATGGTGGCGCACGCCTTTAATCCCAGCACTTGGGAGGCAGAGGTAGGCGGATTTCTGAGTTCGAGGCCAGCCTGGTCTACAGAGTGAGTTCCAGGACAGCCAGGGCTGTACAAAGAAACCCTGTCTCGAAAAAAAAAAAAAAAAGAGAGAGAGAGAGAGAAACAAGTGTCTTGCTGGTGCTTCTGGGGTGTATAGCCTTTCTGTAAAGCGGTCTGCAAGACCCGGTGCATCTTCGGTTTTGTTTTATGGAGATAGTGTCTCACGAAGTCCAGGAGAGGGCTTACAGGTGTGCACTGTCAATTTCAGCGTGCCACCATGCATGGTTCTGTCTTGCTAGGTAGTATATAGTCCAGGCTGACCCTGAACTCTTTCTGAATTCTCTATTCTCTTGCCCGGGCCTTCTGTGTACTGGGACTAGAGATGTGACACACACTGTGTCTATGGTCCTAATTTGGCACGAAGACCTCTTAAAACAGGTGTTCCCCTTCTCTAGATGGTGAGCTTTTAGCCTTTTGGGGGGCTTCTTTCCACAGGATGATTTACTATTTATGTGTGTACACGCACACATAGCACAAGCATGGCATGTGCACACGTTGAGGCCAGAGAACATACATGGTTGTTCTCTTCTGCTTCCATGTAGTTCTGGGGACTATATTCAGGTTGTCCAGCTTGTCAGCAAGAACTCTTACCTGCAGGGCCATTTTGCCAACCCCACATTCCTATGTTCTTATATTTCACTACATTTTGACCAACAAAATTCTTTCCAGTGTCCCTATATTCAGAACATCCTGACCATCCCTGGCTTTCCCCAGCAGTTACCAATGCGTCTCCCTCCCTGGAGAAGAGAAATCTGGTGCATGGCTTTCTAGTTTGTAAGGCCTGTGTCTGTGTGTGCCTTTAGTTCTTTCAACTTTCTGAGTCTTACTATTTTAAGTTCTGGGAACTTAACTATAGGCTTAGGCTAAGTTGATTTAAAAACAAAAACAAAATCCCGCAAACACACAAAAAAAACCCGAGAACTGGGGCTAGACATGGTGGTGCATACCTTTGATCCCAGCACTCGGGAGGCAAAGGAAGGACGGTCCCTGTGAGTTCGAGGCCAGCCTGGTCTACAGGCCAAGTGTCAGGGCAGCCAGGGCTACACAGAGAACCCTTGTCTCAAAACAGAACAACAAACAAACAACAAAACTGTGAGACAGCAGTTTTAGATCACCTAACTCAGGGCAGTGCAGTCTGCTGAGCATGTTTTACAAAGGAGCTTTGAAATGGGGGTGGGGAAGTAAGAGGGAGAGTGACTGACTGATGACTACTGGTCTCTACTCCTGACACTCTGACTCAAGCCTGGGCCTAGAAATATATGCTCAACCAGGGTTCAGAAGCCACTGATATGCCCAACATCCATCACCTAACAACTAGATTCTATTATTTATTCATTTTTACTTATCTAACTATGTATATGCCTATTTTTAAAAAAGATTTATTTATATATTTATTTATTTTATGTATGTGAGTACACCACCTTTGCTCTCTTCAGACACACCAGAAGAGGGCACCGGATCCCATTACAGATGGTTGTGAGTCACCATGTGGTTGCTGGGAATTGAACTCGGGACCTCTGGAAGAGCAGTCAATGTTCTTAACCACTGAGCCATCTCTCCAGCCCTTGTCTATTTAACTATTTGTGTATCTGTCACCTATGTACCTCTCTATTTACCTATCTATATCTATTTATTTATCTATCATCTATCAATCTATGTTTGTCTATTATTTATATATCTATTTGTCTGTCTGTCCATCCTCTGTCTGTCTGTCTGTCTGTCTGTCTGTCTGTCTGTCGTCTATCCTGCCATGCTGGGGATTGAACCAGGCAAGCAGTCTACCATCACACTGTTCCCCCAGCCTTAGATTCCTGTTATTTTCTGGCTTACTAAAATTATAGGTTTTTGTCTCGCTGTTCTGTGGCTGAGATGTGGTTTCCTGGTAGGGCACCCCAAGTTCCTGAATTGGCCGAGGGAGAGTCGGTGAAAGGTTGTGTTTTTGGAACTTTTGTTTTGGAAGCTCGTAGAAAAGGCCATCTTGACTTCAGGCTTCTCAGCATAGCAGAGAAAAGCTGAGTGGCCTGGGCAGCTCCTGTGACCCTGCACTGTGACAGTGACATGCACAGTTTTCAGGGGTTTGCATTTGCAGGACCTGTCCCTTCCCCAAGCTTCTGAAAACATGGCTTGACTATGGGATAAAGAAGTTTGGGTGCAGGGCTGGAGAGATGGCTCAGAGATGTAGGAGGATGGAGAGCCACACAGGTATGGAGAGCACTCGTGGGGAACAACTTATAAACTTATAGTTAGGTTAGCTAATTGGGATACAACTCTCTTTGTATGGGCATCTTGTTATTAATCATTATCAAACATATAAAGCCTTTGATTAATCTATAAGAATTAGAGTCTTGCCAGGGTTTGCAAGCTGAGAAGCAATGACCTGTGGGTCCAGGGTTTGCAGGCTGGATCAGGAAGCTCAGCTGTCTTCATGCCCTATACCTCTGGGTTCTTGAAGTTCAGGCTGGCCTCGAGGGTATCATGTAGCCGAGGATGAGCTTGATTCATGCTAGCCCCCGCCTCCCAGGTGCAGAAATTATAGATATTTATAACCACACCCCACACTCAGCAGTTTTAAAAAGATATTTCCTGATCCCTTTCCTGCGAATCTAACACAGATGGTTTGCAGGGATCTGTGAAAAACTTGCTGGTTTTTTTTTTTTTTTTTAAGTTAAGGCTTCACTAAGCAGCCGGGCAGTGGTGGCGCACGCCTTTAATCCCAGCACTTGGGAGGCAGAGACAGGCAGATTTCTGAGTTCGAGGCCAGCCTGGTCTACAGAGTGAGTTCCAGGACAGCCAGGGCTACACAGAGAAACCCTGTCTCGAAAAACAAAAAACCAAAAAAAGAAAAAAAAAAAAAAAGAAGAAGAAGTTTGGTTGCTAGCTGAACTCAGGATAGCTGCCTCTTTCTGTCAGCTCCAGGTTCTCCTCCCTGACATACGTTTGCTTCAGGCTCTGTGACTGCTATGTCACAGACCACAGTGTCCTACAGAGCCAGGCAGTGATGAGCTGGGAGCCAGCTTTGCAGAGACCCACATTTCCTTCCACTCGAGATGGAAAGAGGGTACCTACCTTGTGGATCTGGCCCAGGGCTACCCGGCTTCCTAGTCATTACCAGCAACACTTGGGAAGCTGCCAGGGGCCAGGGAAGGCTACCAGCTCCTAGGCTACATGCAGAAGAACAGCATGGCCACTCCTCCACTCACAACAGGCTCACTCTTGTTCTTCTTTCTCTCCATCCCGTGTGAAGTGAAGTCACTGCCCGGAATCCCTCCGAGTCCTGCCCCAGCCGTCGCCACCTTCAGCCAAGCACCAAGCCAGCCTCAGGCATCACAGACCCTGACGCCACTGGCTGTGCAAGCTGCCCCCCAGGTAAGGACCACAGCAGGGAGCTGGACGGAGGGCAGAGGGCAGGAGCAGGCATGGGGCTGCATGAGGCAGTGGCCTGAGCGAGGGCCTGTCCTACTAGGTACCTCTAGGTTACCCCTGCCCCAACTCAGGCCCATAAGAGAAGAGGATGAACATTTGCTGAACACTTTCCTTGGGTCCTGACAGGACTGGCGTTAACTCTTTCATGAGAGGATTTGTGCTTGTCGAGTGATATAATGAGTGAACGCCCTTGTCAGCCTCTCCTGCACACGGGTTAATGCCTTGAAGAGTTAATGAATGAATGGCCCGTCTTCAGTTAAGTTATAAAACTGCCCAGCCAATAAAAAGCTGCCTGTAGAATCCTGCAGGCCAGCAGAGCCTGCTTGACCCCTGTTCCATGCACTGATCTCTCTGGTCAAGGGTGCCCTCCGCTAGAGTTCCTCAGAGGTCTCTGTGGATGTTTGACCACTGCTGCAGCCTCTGGTCCCTGATCCCTGACCACAAAACAGTGGACATACCAAACCGTCAGCTCTGAGAAAAACACAGACCGAAGAGGTTGTACATATATACATACACACACACATACAGATGTACATATATGTCATATATGTACATATATGTACATATATATATATACACACATACAGATGTACATATATGTCATCTATGTATCCATCCATGCCTGGGGATCCTGCTCTGTCCTGGAGGCAGGCCTGGGCCTTTTCCCAGTCAAGATCTCTGTACACAGTATATACGTATGTACACGTGTATGTATATGTATATATCATGTATATGTATATATCAACAATCAATGAAAAAAGAGAGGCCATGAAATTGAAAGAGAGCAAGGAGGGGTGTGTTAGAGACTGGGGTGGGGGGGAGAAGGAGAAAAGGATGTGATTATATTATAATTTTAAGAAATAATAAAAAAGAACAGACACTGGACATGCCAGTATGGGCCCAGGGAAGGTCTGGGAGGCACCAGATTGGGGGGGGGGGGGGCAGTGCATCCTGCTCTGCCTCGGAGGAATGCCTGGGTGTTTTCCTGGGCAAGTTCTCTGCACGTGGTATTGTGTGGTCCGGTCACCCACAAGGTTAGGTCTGCTGGGCCTCTTTGCTCGCCTCTGGCCTTTGCCCCAATGCCCTCAGATGCTTGTTTGTGCTCAGCTGGGTCTAAGAGACCCCTGGTTTGCGCTATCTGTGGATGTTGATTTTTTATTTTATTTTTTTCTTTTCTTTTTGAAATCTCGTTTGCTCTTGCAGGTCTTGACTCAGGAAAGCTTAGCCACAGTTCTGACAGGAGTTATGGTCCCAGCAGGGGCTGTTACTCAACCTCTTCTTATCCCCATCGGTATTACAGGTCAAGTGGCTGGGCAGCAGGGGCTGGCCGTGTGGACAATCCCTACAGCAACTGTGGCTGCCCTCCCAGGACTGACCGCGGCCTCTCCCACGGGGGGAACTTTCAAGCCACCTTTAGCTAGTCTCCAAGGTAACGGCAACTCTCCCCAGGACTGCACCAGGCCCCCACTACACCCTATGCTGAAACCCTTGCACGGGTATTTACCATGTTGGACTCAGAACTCGCGGCTCACCAGGGGCAACAATCCTGGATTCTGGATCCAGTGTCATAGGCACCCAGCCACAGAGCCGCAGCACTGCCTCGGATCTCTAGGCCAGGATACCAGGCTGGCCAGCAGGCCTGCCTTTCTTCAGCCAGCTGCCTGAGACTGTCCCCTCCCCCCAACAGCATCTACCCCATGACCAGCAAGAAAGACTGCAAGAAGATTCAACCTCTGGTTCTCGAACCTACACGTCTACTGACCCAAGGGTTGGGGGGGAGGGAGTGAGAGATGTTGCATGTGCCAGCCCTTCAAGAATCGAGGGAATTGCAGCTGCCCCGTGGCCACTGCCTCCAGTGGGGGCATTTTCGTCCCAGATCCTTTGGGACTGGAACTGTGCCGTGTCGTGGCTAGGCGCTTGAGCACCTGTGTCTCTCTGCCTTGCTCCGTTGCAGCTGCCGTGCTGAACACCGCCCTCCCGACACCCGTACAAGCCGCCCCACCAGTCCAGGCCTCCTCGCCAGCCCAGCCCCGCCCACCAGCTCAGCCCCAGCCGCTGTTCCAGACCCAGCCGCTGCTACAGACCACGCCTGCCATACTCCCACAACCCACCGCTGCCACCGTTGCTGCCCCCACCCCCAAGCCAGTGGATGCCACCCCGCAGATCACCGTCCAGCCTGCAGGCTTCGCATTTAGCCCAGGGATCGTAAGCTGCTGCCCTCACCCAGGGCTGACGAGGGATGGACCAAAGCTTGGGCCAAGGGTGGAACGTCCCCCACAGTGGAGGACCAGCTCCTTGAACACAGCCCTTCCCGACACAGACACGTCAGCAAAGATGGGCTCCCATTGAGGTCTTCTCCTTACGCCTGTCTGCCTGTCCTACCCAGACTAAAGCAAGCGAGCGACGGCTGGGGAGATGCGCCAAACCAGAACCACTGGACTAGCCTTGGGGGTGGGGTATACAGGGGCTGCAGACTTGTAAACTGCCTGAGGCTCACAGCTTCATGCTGGCGTTTATCCGGTGTGGCTCTTGGCATGGAATTAGAGAATTCAGGCATGACTAGGAGCACATCTGTCCCTCTAGTCTGGCCATCTACCCTCTCAGACCTAGTGGGAAAGATTAGTAGGAGTCACTGCTCTGTGACAGTACTCCCCTTCTCTGCGACTGTGCTCCCCTTCCATGTGATTGTGCTCCCCTTCCCTGTGACTGTGCTCCCCTTCCCTGCGACTGTGCTCCCCTTCCCTGCGACTGTGCTCCCCCTTCCATGTGATTGTGCTCCCCTTCCCTGCGACTGTGCTCTCCTTCCCTGCGACTGTGCTCTCCTTCCCTGCGACTGTGCTCACCTTCCCTGCGACTGTGCTCCCCTTCCCTGCTGTTCCCCTGTACTTGTCTCCCAGGCCTTGAGTAGCCAGTGGACTAGAGCCCGCAGCCCACAATCACCGCCCAGGATCCTCAGCCCTCTTCCCTCTCTCTGCTCTTTCTTGCCTCTTGGCCTCTGAGCAAGGCTTTTCCCCCACCCACAGATCAGTGCAGCCTCCCTCGGGGGACAGACGCAGATCCTGGGCTCCCTCACTACAGCTCCAGTTATTACCAACGCCATTCCCAGCGTGCCCGGGATCAGCAGTCAGATCCTCACTAACGCTCAGGGACAGGCAAGTGCTCAAGCTTGGGACCAAGGGCTGGGTCATGGGGCAGACGAGGAAGGGGCTAGCACTTGACCTAAAGGTCATGGCATAGAAACTCAAGTAGGGCATCAGGCTGCTGCTTGTAGCCTCTGGTGGCAGCTCCCCACTGATGTGAAGTTCGGGTTGGGGTAGAGCCAGCCCTCTATCCTGGCAGTGCTAGTTCTAATGGGGGATTTGATTCACAGGGCGCCCACATGTGGGCAGGCTCACGTTAGACTCTCATGTATTAACTCACTTTGTTTTGAGGACAAATCTACCAGGGGATCTTTTGTTTTATGGGACAGAAGGGCAGAATTCAGAAATATTAAACCACATAGCTAAAATGTGACAGAGCAGCAAAGAGCTGATTCACAAAAACACCTTTGCCTGCTCTACCATAGCTCAGGGACAGAGCAAAGAAAGGAAGACCTTGGGTGTGAGTCCTTTACTCTATTGAAGAAACAGAAGCCAGAAGACTTAAGTGGTTTCTCCAAGTCAGCCTCTCTGCCTGCAGCCATGGGGGGGTTGGATTGGTGGTCCTGGGGGTTCCCTTCATATTTGGGGCCCGTGCCTTATTTTCTCCCAGGTTATTGGAGCACTTCCGTGGGTAGTGAACTCAGCTAGCGTGGCCACACCAGCACCAGCACAGAGCCTGCAGGTCCAAGCTGTGACTCCCCAGCTTCTGTTGAATGCCCAGGGCCAGGTGATCGCAACCCTAGCCAGCAGTCCCCTGCCTCAACCTGTGGCTGTCAGGAAGCCAAACACACCGGAGTCCCCTGCTAAGAGTGAGGTACCAGGACTGGAGGTGTGGGTGGGCACAGGAAGGAGATTCTGTCATTCATGGCTACCTTTCAAAAGTGAGAAGTGCTCCCCACTTCCCTGAAGAAGGCTTATATGAGTGCACACATGTCCTGCCCAAGGAGTCAGCACCCATTCTCAGCCCACCACACCACATACGTGTGTCTGTGCCCACAGAGGTCAGAGAAGGTGGGTCGTAAGTGAGCAAAGCAGATTGGGCTCGGACCATCCTCAGGGTGAACAAAATGCTAGGAAAGTCCTGGGTAGTGAGTTCTGTACCCCACCACCACACACCAGACACTGGGGCTTTGGCTCTTTGTCGGCTTTCATTCTAGAAGAGATTTTGGGTGCTCGTTCTATTCCGAGCGATGAGGATGCAAAGACAACTGAGATAAGTTTACTAGCCTTAGGTAGTACTTAGTTACTAGCCTTAGGTAGTACTTAGTTACTAGCCTTAGGTAGATCACAAGTCAGCATCTGAAAGACCACAGGGGAGTTATATATAAAGGGGCTTCGGTACTCCACAAATGATGTTGTGACAGACCGGAGGTCAGGATAGCTTCAGAGGGAGAGGATGAGCTGGGTGTAGTGTGTGCTGTCTCTGGAAACTGGGGCAAGCATGGCGTGCCAGAGCCTGGTTCTCCAACTTGTGTGTCGGAATGTCCAGCAAATCCCGGCAAGGGTGGGGATTCTCCAATAGATCTAAGTGAGACCCACGGATGTGCTGAGGACACTTGGGCCTGTGATTGTCTAATATGTTGCTTCCAAGAAGCTTTCGAATAAGGCCTTAACCTCGTCTTTAAGATAGGGGTTATAGAAATCCGTGCTTAAGTAGTGCGCATCTGTAATCACAGCTTGGGCTATACACGGAGCTCAGTTCCAGCGTGGGTTATGGGATCTTGATTAAAAACAACAACAAAACGCCTAAGTTAGAAGTTTATGAATATTACACCACGGAGTTGACACGTGGGTAATGCCATTAGCTTGCGGTGGTAGTTCTGACTGTTGTAATACAGGAGCGGCTGCTGGGGTTTCCATGGCTGGTAGGTGTGTATCTTGGAAACACAGAGTAGAGTGAAGGATCAGCTGCCGTCAGGTGTGGACTCTTGTACCTGGTTAAGTCGGCAGCTAAGTTTTCCCTTTTCCCCTCTGTTGTCTGCGGTCTCCTACATGCCTAGGGCAGCACCACTGTGCTGCTCCCTAAGCTTTGGAAGATCTAGGGAAAGACTAAGGCCAGTGGCCTGGGGACTAAGGAGCAGGTTTGAGAGCTAACAGGAAGCAGAATCCAGGGAACAGAAAATCCAGGAAAAACCTGCATTTCCTGAAAAGCTTACGGGGTTTTGTTTTGATTCATTTTGAGACAGGGTTTCTCTGTGTAGCTCTGGCTATCCTGGGACTTGCCACGTGAAGAGCAGGCTGGTCTAGAACTGGTAGAAATCTGCCTGCCTCTGCCTCCTTTTTTTTTTGTTTTTTTGTTTTTTTTGAGGCCAGCCTCGAACTCAGAAATCCGTCTGCCTCTGCCTCCCAAGTGCTGGGATTAAAGGCGTGGTATCACACCCAGCTGGTTTTGTTCTAAAATCATACTAATAATGCTAATTTCAGATTATGTGTGTCTTTTCCTGACCGTAAATAAGATGTATAACTAATGAACATTATGTTATAGGGTCGTATAAAAAGTAAAAACCGGGCTGGGTGGACGGGTCAGTGGTGCAGCTGCTTGTGTGTGTGAGAGGACTCGAGTTCCAATCCCCAGCACCCGGGTAAATGTTGGGTGCCTGTGGTAGCTCATCTGTAATTCCAGTGCCTGAAAGGCAGAGGCAGAGGATCCCAGAAGCAGGCTGCTAGCTGAGTCAGCCAGCCACATCAGTGAGCTCTGGGCTCAGCTGAGAAGACTCCAATTCCATGAATAACATGGAAACCTCTCGAGGTCAGGCTCAGGGCTCCACCCTTGCATGCACACTTGTGTATTGACACAGGCACATGTGTGCACACACAGCACAGACACGTGAGAGAAAGAACAGGAATCATGACAGGTGCAGTGATATATACCTGTAATCCTAACATTTGGGAGGTACAGGCAGGAGGATTATAAATTTAAGGTCAGCCTTAGACACGGAGAGATCAAAGCCCATTTATTGTGGATGTTAACAGGCAGTTTACAGTTTTGCTTTTCAATGACCACAGGTGACTGGGTAGGTAAGAACTTCATGTCCATTTCTGCCCTGGTGCTGCTTCACCCAGGACAGCTGACCCCCGAATTAGGCAGGGGTGATGGGGCTTGTGCCTTTTCTCGTAGGTGCAGCCTATCCAGCCGACGACACAAGCCGTGCCCCAGCCTGCCGTGCTCCTCAGCAGCCCTGCCCCCACACTTAAGCCGTCAGCCTCAGCTCCCATTCCGATCACCTGCTCAGAGACCCCTACCGTCAGTCAGCTGGTATCAAGTAAGTGATTTAGAAGAGAAATGTGGGTCTGGGGTCCCCGATACCTATGTAGTCCCAGCTATCGGGAGGCTGAGACAAGAACAGTCTTTGAGCCCTGGAGTTGAAGGACAGCCTAGTGAGATTTTGCCCCAAACGTATCCGTAAGATTTCTGGTGTCCGAAAGGAAAAGGGAAGGTAGAGGTCCAAAGTGGAAAGACAAGAACTTTAAGTTTTCTTTTACGTTTGTTTATTTGTTTGGGAGCCAGGGGCCGGGCACGAGTATCTACTGTGTGCGTGGGGGTTCCCGGGGATTAAACTTGGGGCCTCGGGCTCAGTGGCAAGCGTCTTTACCCACAGAGGCTCCTCCAAGACATGACTTTCATATCCCCTTTCCTGTTGAGTTCCACAGTGGAAGTGGAGGCTGCTTAGCTGTCTGCCCCATTACACTGTGCCACTGGCTGGCTCAGTGTGGCCTCCCACCGAGTTCTGAGGAATAGACAAGGGCAGACATGTGTCTGGCTGGGACCAGGGCAAGGAGCCTGGGAAAGGGTCAGCAGTTAGACCAGAGCATCCTGGGAGAGGATCGGCGGTTAGACCTAAGGGAATTTGAAAACAGATGGTTTCAGTGGGTCGTTCCATGGCCCGTTCCTTCAAGTTGTGTTTGTCCAGGAGACACGGTGATAGGGCCTTTTGATAAGTGTCCTGGATCCCTTTGATGTAACTGTCATCTTCATGCACTTCTCCCTGGTCCCTTCCTCTGGCCTAGAGCCGCACACTCCAAGTCTGGACGAGGACGGGATCAACTTAGAAGAGATCCGGGAGTTTGCCAAGAATTTTAAGATCCGGCGGCTCTCCCTGGGTCTGACACAGACCCAGGTGGGCCAGGCTTTGACAGCGACAGAAGGACCAGCCTATAGCCAATCAGCCATCTGCAGGTAAGCGAGGTTATCCCAGGATAAAGCCAGGGCCTGCTTCATATCGCCGATGGCTCTCATGGGAATCCAGGCATCCAGCCCCGTTCTGTGTGCCCCATGTTTTACACTGCTTCCTTTCATGTAAGGAAGACTGTCCTAGGGAGGGCACAGATACTTAGAGTAGCCAAAGACTGACCACCCAGGCCTTCTGAAGTTTAGACCTGAATTCTGAGTATTTAGACGTTCTTCTGAGAGACCCCAATCCCATTGAAGAATCTTAGCAGGAAAGGGTATCACTTATTAAGTTGGTCTGTCATGGCCCCTCAGCTAGTCAGAACCCCGGTGTGCTCCTGGCTGCCTTGCCTCCCATGCCTGCCAGGTCAGCCCATCCCGAAGGAGCAGCAGGTCTTTTTTGTTGTTGTTGTTGCTACCATGGGAGCATAGAGAGAGGAGGGTGGTCCTCATCTCTGAGGGGGCTTTAAGGTGACTCTTCAAAGGACTTCCAGTCATTTGAGGGTGAACGTTCCTGTCCAGTTAGCACATGCTTAGCGTTTTCCTGTCCTCGCGGAGGCTGTGGCATAGTCTCTTTCTTGAGGCCTGGGATATATAAAGTCTGAGGAATCTAGGCTTTGAGGGGCTGAGAGGATGGGGACACAGAGTAGGACTCGAGCAGCCTTTCCCTCGAGGGAGATGCACTGAAGAGACAGCTACATACCTCTGCCTCTTCCTCAGGTTCGAGAAGTTAGACATCACACCCAAGAGCGCCCAGAAGCTGAAGCCGGTTTTGGAAAAGTGGCTGAACGAGGCGGAGCTCCGGAACCAGGAAGGCCAGCAGAATCTGATGGAGTTTGTGGGTGGTGAGCCCTCCAAGAAACGCAAGCGGCGTACTTCCTTCACGCCACAGGCCATAGAGGCTCTCAACGCCTACTTTGAGAAAAACCCCCTGCCCACGGGCCAGGAGATCACCGAGATCGCTAAGGAGCTCAACTACGACCGTGAGGTGGTGAGGGTCTGGTTTTGTAATCGTCGCCAGACCCTCAAGAACACCAGCAAGCTGAACGTCTTTCAGATCCCTTAGGGCTTACTGTCAGCACTTTGTATTCGTCCCTCAGCAACCAGCTGAAGTCACTGCAGTGGCAGTACCGTGTGCAGCCATGCTTGCCCTAGGTCGTGAGACTCCACCTGTGCATGTGTGTCAATGCCTGCCTCTTCTGCCCACATATGTCACACCCTGGGGGAGGCCCGAGGAGCTGCATGAGGGCCCTAGGCTCTGGGCTGGGCATGTTGGAAGGAGGGGGTTTGTGGGGTTCTTAGAAAAGCACTTTGCCAAGGTGGTTTCTGAAGGGTGAGTTGTGGTTGGGAACCAGAAAGGCTCTGTCTTTGGGTCAGGGCTGTAGCAACTCTTGGGGACAGCTGTGTAGTAGCTCTTGTGTTTGGTGGCACCTTTTACCCTTCCTCTCGCTCCCCTGCGGCTGTTGCCTGTGTGACAACTCACCTGGTGGAACCGCAGCCTTGCACTGCCTCCCTTACTCTGTATATGGGCACACTGAACCTCTTAAAGGACCGAGGAGATGGAATCCAGAGAAGTGTGGTGTGCTGCTCAGACCCACTGTCTGTCTTGATCTTGAGGTTCCCAAGGTGACATCGAGGGGTCGGAGGCCTGAGGTCAGGAGCTCCGAGGTCCCTCCCGGGGTCCTGCTGGTGGTAGGATTGCGATAAGTCAGGATGTTTTCTTCCCCAAACCAAGTTGGAAGGAAGCAGGAGTGAACTCTCCCATCCTGGAGAGCCTTAGATCTGTGGCAGGTCTGGAATTTATAAAGTAAATAAGGCCATCTGCCCAGATTTTAATCTAATCTTCGTTTGCAGCTGTCTTCAAACACAAGAGTAGGGTAAAGGGCTTGGGAAATTCTCCACTGCCCGCTAATGCAGGCAGTGGTAGGGGGCGCAGATTCTGACTTTCTCCTTCTCTTGTGACCACACCCATCTCAGTCCAGGACTGAGATGTCTTCAAAGGAGCAAATTGAATGACAAGCCAGACAGCGAGGAGCTGGCGTAGGGAGGAAGACAGTATCCAGAGGGATGATGGTCCCGGGAGGTCTCTTGTTGAGGCTGACTTAACTCTAGTTTTGTTTGTAACTTTAAGTCTTGGAGGTCTCCAAAGACCTCACTTTGTTCAGTTGTAAACCAAGTCTGTGTGTGAGCAAATCCCAGTCCACACCCCTCTGCGGTGCTCCCCTGAGCCAACAGTGCCCAGGTCAGGGCTTCCCTCAGTAGGTGATGACTGAAAGACTCCTCCAAGGGGACCCAGGAAGGATTTGGACCCAAAGACACTCCAGAGACCGTCTTGCTGTAATTACATGAGTCAGGTCCTTTATTATCGAAGCTTCGGCTGATACGTGCCTCACACAGGAGGTAGAGGTTATCGACCCTGAGACCTAATAGCTTAGGGTTAATATAGGCAAAGGCTGGGGGGAGGGAGAGGGTTGTGGGTAATCACACACAATTGGTTGTTTCAAATGTCTGTAATGTGTGTAAGCAGATCTCACGAGAACTGTCCCTGGTTTCTGTGGCCTTGGGACCCAGTGTGAATGTTTATCTAAGCCAACAGACCATCTGGCTGAATTTAATTCGAAAGTCCTTGGGACCTCTGGTAGGAGTTTTTCTAGAGGAGGCTAAGTCAGACACCACGGGAACAGATTCTCGGAACACTCAATTGACCTTTGTTCTGCATCCCCTGTGACGGCCTTGGGTTAGCAAGCTAGCTGGCCTGCAGTTCTTAACTTATTTGTATTAGTGAATTAAGGCTTCTTGTTATACTATTGATTTTAAACTAACTTAAAATTCCTGTTTCAATGGCAATCTGGGGCCTGGCATCGTATGCAAGCCACTAAGCCAGCTTCCAGCTACAGAGAGGCAGGCCAGACTTTTCACTTCAGTGCATTGGCTGGAGAATGTAGCTCAGAGGGAGACAACTTAGCATGTCCAAGGCTCCAGAGTCAGTTTGTAGCACTGAGGGAAAAACACTAGTATTTGATGTCAAGAAGTCAGGAAAGAGCTAAGACATTGGCTTGAATAACCCCTTGACAAGCTGCAGGCGTCAACCATCTCGCTACTTTTGGGCTTGGTTCGTTGGGTTTTGTTTTGTTTTGAGATAGAGTCACACTTAGCCCAGACTAACCTCAAACTTGTAGTCGAAGATGACCTGACCCTTCTGTCTCCACCTCCCAAGTGCTGGGATTGCAGTCACGTGCTGCTGTGCCTGGCTCTTCCCCACTCCATAACCTTACAGAGCTTGCTCCCTGGCTGATGTCGACGTCACATGATCTACCCTGAGGAAATGACTCTCAAACAAGGACGTGATGCCATCTCCATTGGTCCCAGTGCAGAGAGGCACTAGGGCCCAGCTTCCTCTCATGTACTCTGTTTCCTTTCCTGATGACTGCCAGTCCCTCTTGGGTCCTGTAGTGCAGAGGACCTCCTAGTAGCTCTGACATTGAGAGGAGGGCAGTTGTGTACTGATTACACACACACACACACACACACACACACACCACTGCATTCCAAGTCTGTCAGGTATAAGGAGACAAGTAGACAGCTTTCCTGACCCTGCCTCCCGAGAAAGAATGTTCCCAGAGTGCTTCTAGGCCATGTGATTATCAACCTGCTGCCGTGAGAGGGGAAGTCAGGACGGGTCCTGAAGAGAGCTTTCAGTAGAAATGCTTAGTCCCCAAGCTTATCAAGGTGATGCACCCGAGAAAATTATACACAGCTGTTCTTGCTCAAAACCTGCACTCAGGAGGTAACACACAGCGCAGCCAAGCTGTGGACATGGGAGAGGATTCCATCTGTTTTGTGCATGACGGGGAAAAAAATAAATCGTGAACCACTGGTCTAAATTAAGCCTGGCCACGAGTTCTCACCCCATCCTTTGTCTAAATCTGTCTTCCCAAGGCTGGGCTAGAATGAAACATTTTCTCCCATGTTGGAAAGACACATTGGTCTTTCAGAAGAACAGTACCAGAGCCCAGATGTTTACAGGCTAGATTTCTCAAATAAGGGGTGCAAGGGTATAAAGTGGACCCAAAGTGGGGTTCGCTTTGGCCTTTGAAGTTTGCCCCTGCTCCTCAGCCGGAGCCACTGATCTACAGTCTTTGTTATTTTGAGGGAATCTAAAAAAGTGTTAATAGCAGTTTTATCTTGAAAGCACCTTCTCAGACTTAAGCCTGCGCTCGATGGCTCTTTTGCCCTGGAAAGTGGAGAATGGGAGGAAGTAGTTCAACTGTATGGTTGGTTTGTTTTAAGTGATAGGGAAACCAAGACTTTCTATGGCCCTGCTGAATCAGCTACGCCCTTCGACCCTGCACTAACTATGGCACTTCATCCAAGCAAAGTCCACAGAAGAAACTGGTCACATGAACCGTGAATGCACGTGAGTTTGGAATGAGAACACCTGATGTGTTTGTGTTCTTGAAAATCCAGTCACCTTCCTATGCCCAGGACTCTTTTCCTGCCTGGTGGGCCACATCCTGAAATCCCAACATTCTCCGGGCACGGGAGGCACCGCCCACCGGGCACGGGAGGCACCGCCCACCGGGCACGGGAGGCACCGCCCACTGAAAGCTGGGGAGGAGGATGGGGGAGTACTGCCGTAGCGTGTGAATAAACAGTATTTTTTCTTTTGTACTTCTCTGTCTACTTTGTTGCTTCCAGATATGAGAGAGCCAGTGTCAGAGGCCAGGGATGCGTCATGGCTACCTTTGCTGTTGGCTTGCCTAGCAGGCGGCTACAGCTCAGCGCCTGGATTGCCACTCCAGAAGATCCCTCATGACGCCCCCAGCCCCGACTCTCCTACGGGGCTGAGGGTGGGAAGGGTTAAGTGGCCATGCCCTTTCCCTCATAAACTGCCTTTCTGGTATTTAGCATCCCAGAATCTCCTGCTAAGCCTACATTTGCGCCCCTCTTTTCTGCCTCCCAGTGGCAGATTATGTTGTAGGTAGGGATACTTTCTGTTTATAGTCTTAGGCTGTAACAAAATTCCTCTTCTTGAGAAGCTTTTTTTTTTTTTTTTTTTTTTTGGTTTTTCAAGACAGGGTTTCTCTGTGTAGCCCTGGCTGTCCTGGAACTCACTCTGTAGACCAGGCTGGCCTCAAACTCAGAAATTCGCCTGCCTCTGCCTCCCAAGTGCTGGGATTAAACGTGTGTGCCACCACCGCCCGGCTCTTGAGAAGCTTCTAATAAGAGAAAGTTTCTGCTTGTAGTTTTGGACCCTCTGTAGTTAGCTGGAGGAGCCATTGAGTGCTTCTTTCGGATAGACCAATGTCTTCAATGGAACGTCACATGGTGGCGGGACACACCCTCTCTCAGGCATCTCTTTAAAGAGCTCTCTACCCTCAGGACCTAATAACATTAATAGCTCGATTCATAGAACTTTTTATTAAAATGTGGCGGTGTGCTAAGTAAGTCTTTATTTGTACTCTTTCCCCAGCCTGCAAATATTTGGGACAGACTACCTCTGAGTTTAAAGCTAGGAAATTACAGCTGCTCAGAGGACTTCCCTTTCCCCGTCCTGGGAGCTGTATCCATGCTGTCTCTCTCCCTGGAAGTCCTCTCACTTCTCATCAGCCTGGTGTGAATGCATCTGAACTGTATAATCTTAAACTGGCAAGACTAAGATATCTCATCGACTCCACGTGGGTTCTAGATCATTCTAGTTCTACTTCTGTGACCGAGCCCGAGGGGTTAATGGATGTCAAAGATTCTGACCCAAGGCTTGGGATGAGAGGAATTTTGTAGTATTCCCAAAACAGTGGAGCACCAACGCTTAATGCTAGCTTAGATCTCAAACCCTGATTAGCTAGCCCCTCAAGCAGTGGGAACCTGCCAGGCACAACTTAGGTGATTGGTAATTGTCAGATGGGAAAGTAAATATGCTTCCTCTGTCTGTCTTCAAGGAAATACTGAGAGCCAAGATCAAGATCAGGGCTTCTGGGGCGAGCAGGCACCAGATCTTAGCTCTGCTGCTTTGAACTGTGAATGTGGGAATGAAGAGAGCCTTCCCTGAGACAGACAACTTGCACCAGCAGAGTCCTGGGAGTGCTGGCTCAGACCAGCTGAGAGCAGTTTTTGGCAGTTGGCCTGAAAGATTTTTAGACTTTAGAGGAAAGGGGGGTAGGTTTGTGGAAGGTTGCAGGTCATTGCCCTATGGATGGTTTGGAAGGGGAATTTTTTTTTTTTTTTTTTAATGGGCTAGCAAGGTGGCTGGTTTGGGAACTAGAGAAGAGAGGAGAAGGAACTTGCAGGGCAGTGAGATTTTTTGGAATCTTTCTTTCAGATACCAGGCCCTTAGAGACGTTCACTAGGCCTGAGATATACCTGTTCCTGCCTTCCAAGTACTAGGATTAAAGGTGCACCACTGCTAGGCAGTGGTGGCACACAACTTTAATCCCAGCACCTGAGAAGCAGAGGCAGGTGGATCTCTGAGTTCGAGGCCAGCCTGGTCTACATAAGGAGTTCCAGGACAGCCAGGGCTACCCAGAGAAACCTTGTCTCAGAAAACCTAAAAACAAACAAACAAACAATTATGTGCTGTGAGTTCAGATGCTCTTGGAAGGCAGAAGCTGGCATCAGATCCCCGGGAGGTGACGTGGCTGTGACCTAACTAACAAGGGTGCTGGGGACCAAACTCAAGTCTTCAGCAAGGGTAGCCTTAGATGACAACTGTGGAGACACCTCGCTCTTTTCTAGCTTGTTATTTTTAAGCACATGTAATCCTGTGCGTGTGTGTGTGTGTGTGTGTGTGTGTGTGCATGTGTGTGTGTGTGCCTGTGTGT